ATATATATATATACACAAATTCAGCCCTAGGTAGATAAAGCTGAGTTTGGAAAGTTTGGCTTGAACAATTGGAATTGGCCAAAGTCCCTTTCTGAGCAAACATCCCCAGCAGCGAGGCACTCGCAGGGTGTTGGGATGCGCAGCCTGAAATGACAGATAATATATATATATATATTTTAGATACAATGACCACTCACCCGCAGTGTCGCTGTCACAGGTTCAATGTGTGAAATGTCCCCGGCCGGGCAGGGGGAGGCAGCACGTTCTCAATAATAGCGGCTGTCAAACCCGTCCTGCAGGAATGTGGGCAGTGCCCTCTTCTGGAAAACGATATATATAAAAAAAAGAGTTTAAAATTGGGGAATTGGCCTGAACTGGAAAACTGAACCACTCCAATGACACCACTGGCATCACGGCAGCCAGGAGGCTCTGCTGATTGTGTCTGGTTCTACAGAAAAAGTCCCATATCTGGACACTTCTTGTGGAATAATAACAAGTCTGCACATGCAGCTGTGGTATTTCAATTTAACATCCTGCCTCACTGTCTAAATTAACTTTAAAATGGAGACATCTCCTTATTGCTGGCCAAGAAAGGAAGCACAGCACCTTGGCATGAAGTGTTACTTTCCCATGAGGTTTATACTCTGGTGTAAAGACAACCAGTCTGTAACCACCAGTCAGAGGGTGTCTAATGAAACCTGTAACTCACAGGAGCCTGAAGTCCCTCTACAGAGAGGGGAGAGGAGATGAAGCATGTCCAGGAGGCATTTCCCATCACAGGGAGCATGAATCACCTCAAATTGCATTGCCTATTTCCACTGCCTTCCCAATTGGAACCTTAATTAGGTGCCTGAAGTTAGTGGGGATTAATTTGGGCCCAACTGGATAAACCTGGGTGATGAGGACATGAACCTCATGAAGCTCAAGGATGGTGAGGTGAGGGTGTCCCACTGATGTGTGGTAACGCGGTGGATCAAACAGCCTTTCACAGGCAGCTCTGGTCCCTGTGGAACAGAGATCTTAGCTTTTCAATTCCTCACGTGCCCGAGGGAGGCTGAGAATATCACTGAGTTCCTTCACAGGTACCTGGGTGGGTCAGTTGCCACCACGTTGCACAGGAATGTTGTTTGCATTTAAAAAAAAATAAAAAATGTTAATTTATAGAAAATGCTTGGTATGATTTCTGCAGGTGATCAGAACATCTTAAGGTTTGACAGAGAATGACTCTGCTTTTGAAGGGAACCAGTTTGGAGGGATGTTGTTTACAGGAACCAGGGAGCCCTGTGCTCTAGGTGGATGTTTTCTCACACTTTAAAAACAAGTGGTGCCTTCTGGTTTATTCTGCACATACACGTTTCCCTTGTTGCTGCATAGTTAGAGGGGATGAAGTGTCATCTGCTGTCAGAGGACAGGATAAACAAGTTCCAGGTAATACCTGTGTACTTCTTTCTGCTTTGAAAGCAGATGGTTCCTGAGTGAAAGTGACTTGATAGCAGGGATTTCTCCCAAATTACTGCAGAATTCAGGTATTTGGAAAAAAGTTATTTTTGGAACCTGAACTGCATGAGCTGAGAAACCATCAGGTCTTCCAGTGAACTGAGAAAAATATTTCTATAAGCATGCTTGACTGCTGTAGCAAAATCAGCTTTTTGAACATTTCTGCTGCACTTTCAGGAAATGTTTAGACTGATTTTCTTCTCTTTCTTTTCTCCTCCTCGATGGAAAGGAAGAACTCCATCAGTTGTATCCTTTGGGTGCCTTTCATCCCTCACGTGTGGGAACCTCCCGGCAGACTGGTTGAAATGCATTCCCCATCCTCCTCCTAATCCAGCTGCACAGGGCCATCCTTGGGTTCTCCTTGGAGTTTTCCATCATCAGCACCACCCACAGGAAGCAGACCTGGTAAAACTTTTCTTCAAGGGAAGATGTTTTTGCAGCCCTAGCTGGGGTTTAGCTGTGATTTTGCCCTCTTTGGCCCCAAATCATGCCCAAACCCCTTGAGCCCACCTGCAGTCCCTACAGGGGGGCTGGCAGCCACCATTTACGATCAGATAACTCTTGATTTCCTTAGGAAGCAAGGCTAAGAACTGGATTTGTGGGCTGATGGACACAAGCCCCATGCAGCAGAGCTCCCAGACACTGACACAGCCAACAAGAGGCAGTAAAAGCAGCTTTCCTATTTCCTGTTAATTCACCCTACCTTTACTCCTGCCAAGATCTAAGTCACCTCCTGAGAAGAGACACCCTCAGCTTCCAACATTTCCATGCTCAGAACCTATCTAGTAATTCTTTGCTCCACCTTCCTTCAACTGGAAAAACACAAAAACCTGGTTCTGTTTTAATAAAATGAGCTGCTCTGGGAATGGGAACACATCCAGTGGCTGTGGGTGGTGCTGCCTTCAGAAACTGGATGGGCAGTTCCTGTACAAGATGCCTGGGATGAAGTCCCTGCTTGGAGACATTCAGGAGCAGAGAAGGGAGAATGAAGAGCATTTTGAGTAGAGAAAGACAGATGGGGTAATGATGAAATGTGCACCAATAAATTCCTTGTAGAGATTAAATTGTATTGTTTAAAGCTAAGAACACTGTCATATGGTTGTCAGAAATGGGCAAACTTTCTGGATTCTTGGAGCCACTTTCCAACTTCTCCAGGTGGTGGTGAGCCCCAAGCCATCCTACTCATGCCTTCTACTACTAATGTGCTGCTGTGCCTGAAGAGAAAATGATTCCTTAAGTGTGTCTGTACCTGCCATATAGGAATCATGCCCATCCCTGGAGGGGGGCATGCTCTTGAAGACCTCTCACTGGGAGATACCTCCTATAAATTCAGTGTTTCACCTCCTCTTGCAGTCAGAGAGGGAGCTGGCACAGTTTTACACACACAGACAGACAAATAACTAATAATCACTAAGTATTATCTCACAGTTTTAGTGAGCAGTGAATTAGGGAAGCCTGTTTCTTCAAAATTTACATCTCAAAGTGGAGCTCATGGCCTTTCTCTGGCAGGTAAGATCTCAGCTTTCAGACTTCCCATTGTGTGGGCAGGAACAGGGCCTGTCTGCTTCTCAGGGCCACCTGCTTCCCAACACTGGCAGGACTGGGATGGACCAGAGGCTGCCAACCCTCTGCCAGTGTGCTCAGCGCTGATTTAACAGGTAGAGAAGTTGTCTGGGAAATGTGCTCATGCAACCCCCCCTCATTTCCTTATACTAATGAATCAAATATAGATCTATTTAAAGGAACTAAAGCCAAAAGTGAAACAGCAAGCTTTTAGCCTAACTGGGAGTATTTGGAATCTCCAGTTACTTTCTGAGCCCCACCCAGCAGGCCAGTCATGGCTGAAGCACTCAGTGCAAGAAAAGGCAGGGCAGTGTGTTTGGAGGTTGCTGGAAAGGGAGGGGGCATTATGAAGTGAATCCCACCTCATTGCTCTGAGAAATCCTTGACAAAGAGTTTGCAGCTGTCATCTGTTCCTTTACAGATGCTTTTCTACATAAATGGGGTCTATTACATCTTCTACTTCTTGGCCACTCTGGCAATGATTGTTTATAAAAGTAAGTCACAGGTATCTAACATAGGAGCAGCTCTCTGTTTGTGCCCTGCTGTGGTTTCTTGATACCCCTGCTGCATTTTCCTGGCTTATTTACACTGTGTTATTCCACAGGTCAAGTTTTCAGTTATCCAGATGATTTCTTGATTCCTGATCTTGTCCTGCTTTTCCTGATGGCCATTCTTGAGGTGCTCCAGCTATACTTGGGTATGTCATGTGATCACTGTGCCTTTTCAGTGGGATATAATCAATAACTCTGAAATCAAGTGTATGTCAAAACCTGCCAGTTTAGCAGACTAGCAGGTATTTGGAGACTGTTGTTCCTTTATGTCATTAAAATGTATCTGACTGATCAATAGATTTGGCCAGAGGGTCAAACAGAATTTGCTTCCATATGAAAAATAATCTATAAGAAAAAACCCAGTAATTAGGCTCCCAGAAAGCAATGGAACTGGGACAGCTGGAATGCTGCTCACAAGTGAGTGTGACTGGGGAGAAGGAAGATATTGGAACACAGAGATTTCTGTTCACTGAGGTGATACAGCTCTTTCCAACTGCTCCAGCAACACACACCTGTAACCAATTGGCCAGTTCCAACATCTTCATTTCACTAAGAACAGCATCAGGGGCCTCCTGACCCCTGTCTAGAGCTTGCTGAAACTTCATGGAGTCCTTTTTTACAAAAACAAATTCCTGTGAAAATCTGTGCTCAATATTCCCAAGACATTTAAGCAAGATGGGTCTCTGTTGAATTGAGCTGCCTTGCTGCAGGGGGGAACTGAGCCTGCTGCCCTCCAGCTCTGCTTGTGTTTGCTTGGAGCCTGGTGGATGAAGAAGGAACTGAGCTTCAAGTCTTATGTAGTTAAACAGCAAAATGAGACTAGACTGAAAAGAAGATGCAAGGAGGAGATAAGTGCAGCTTCTCCACAGTGATAGTAATTTGAAATAGGAATAGATCAGCAGGGGATACAGAAGGTTCTATATTGTGTAAGATCTAAAATCAGGATTGGGTGCTTCTGCATGTGCACTGCAGTCACCAGGTGGTCATGCTCACTGAGGGCTGGGGGGAGGTTTGGTGGTTGCCTGAGAAGCTGGGTGATCAACATGGTGGCAGCTTCAGAGCTGACTGTAGTAAGAAGAGGCAGGTGGGGTGGCTGGGTATCAAGGACTGCTCCTTAGATTAACTTCAGTCAGCAAGAATTGGCTTGTCCATTGGCATTGGGGTTTGTTCTTCCATCTCCTGGCACAGCCTTGATTCAGGCCAGTGTCCCAGTGCATTCTGAGCTGTAAGAACCGGAGCCTTTTAGAACAGGAGCACTCCAGCCTTATGGCTTGTGACACTGCCCGAAGCAATCCAAGGCTCCTGGCAGCTTTCTGTTTCCTTCGAGGTTCAAAGGGCAACCTGACAGAAGAGGAGGCTCCCCTGGGGCTCAGTGTGGCCATCACGGTGGGAAGTGTGCTGCTGTCTGTGTACTTCCTGGTGTGGCAAACCTACGTGCTGCGGGCAGACGTCGTCATCAACGCTGTTCTGCTCTGCGCTCATGGGCTGGAGGCAGCACTGAAGGTCGTCGCCATTGCTGCCTTTGTCAGCTAAACCCTAGCAGCTTCCAGCCCCTTTTCTACACATTTCTTCTATACAAGACTGGGTTTATATTTCAAACATTTCCTTCTTTTGCATATAAAAACCTAGTCCTGCTTTCCTCTGCTCCAAGTGCAGGGTATGAGGAGCGGAGATCTCCCTGAATGGCAGGGGAAAGATCCTGTCCAGCAGCTCCACCATCTCATCAGTCAGCTGCTTCATGGGCAAGAGATGTTCAGCAAAACCTCTGTAATGCTTTGGTATCATCAGGGGTCAACAGGAAAGGCTCATTCCCACACAAAAGGAGGCAATGCCTTGTGGAGGTCTGTGCTGCTGAGATGACAGCAGCTTTCACAGCAGAGCAGAACGTTCAGCCCCAGGGACACAGAAAGGAACCAGGGCAATGTCCTATGGACTCATTTCTGCCTCCCCACACACCCCTTCATGTTGGAGGGCACAGTTTCTCTTCTGCTCTCATTAGTCCTTTCAGACCTCAGTGGTAATTTCCCTGACTTTAGTAGGGCAGAACCTGATTTATCCCAGTGGGAAAGAG